ATGGCCAATCAAAGGTTTAACTGTTTGGAAAATAAATATAATGCAAATAAAAAAAAGAAACATTTAAGAGTAGGCCTATGTTTGTTCCGGCACAATACAGAATTTTAGAGGCAAATCTACTAAAGATGTATGGTACAAAAACAAAACAAAACACACAGCTCATGCTAATCTCTCTTTCTTGTTTTTTTATTTTTCTTTCTTTCTCTCTTACTTTTTTATTTTGGTAATTTTTGGTAATGCTATTGTTACTGCTATTGTAATTGATGCTGTGCATTAGCAAATAGTTGTAGGCATATATATTTGCTCCGGCATACACACAAGTCGCTTTATAAATAAAATCTTGAGCACTATTTTGCATCATATTGTATATCTGTTCCATGAATGCATGACCCCGACAAAAACCCTTCAGTACATTTCAGTCACAGTCCCCTTGTTCATCCGTCTTCCTTTCTTTCTCCTTGACCTGAAATAATGCTTACAGTCTATCTCAAGAAGTTACATTCTGACATGATGAAAGACCACCACAGTGGATGAGACCTCTGTCTGTGTGCTCTGAAAAGCGCAGTGTGTTAAGCAGATCCATCCAATCAGGCTGCATTGTTCTGAAGCCCTTCAGGCCATCTGCCTCTCAGGTTGGTCAAAGCTGAAAACCTTGTGCTGAGCAGGATGTGGAGGCATGTCTAGCTTTATGACCTCTCTATATCTATAGTATTTACCATATAGAGCATCTAATTCAATTATCACACACCTCTATATGACAATAGTCATTGTATCTATTCTGAAGGCTGAGGGCAGCACTTAGAAGAAGTCTAGAAGAACAAAGTGTATGAGAATTCTTGATTAGCATCCTTGGTTACAAATGACACTTGAGGACTCCGTGAGAACCATTACTACGTTTACCATATTGTCTTTGTGAAGGCGATTCACAGTCAACTCGAGTTTAACGTAAATAACATGCATTTTCTTTTTACATAAATTCTGCAATCTCTTCTTATAAACGATTAATATTTCTTTCTGATAATGTGCAAGTGTTCAATCAGATTTGTCACTATGGACATTATTATAATAAACAAACAATTTCCTGATCTTATTTTCTCATCCTCATTTTTCTGTTCAATGCATTGTCAACAAGCACACAAATGATGTTATTCTTAGGGAATCTGATTACATGAATTGCTGCAAATCGTGGAGCAAAACAACAATGAACCCAGCTGAATTAAGGCTTTTCTGTACTTCATCAGAAAAGGTCAAATACGTTTAGCACAGCGATATTTCGCTGATATTTTTGAATACTCTATTATTTTATTTATAATAAAAAGAACATGCAAAGCTTTTCTTTTATTCATTTTTCTTAAATTTAATTACGATCTATCAGTGAATAATTTAGACTTATTTTAAGTAATTTAAAAGTTATTTCTTTAAAGACATACAAGACTTGACTAAAACTTTTGAACAATTCCATCATTACTGCACAACAATAATTTCTTTATTTAAAGTTTTTGTCCTAACCAGCCATAAAATTCAGCAGGACATTTGTCTGTCATTTCGTTATGATTTTTACAGCATCATGCTTTGTAGCCCATCCATAGTGAAGTCTAATTATTTCAAAATCCTGCAAATAACTACAAATTAAACATCAAATAAACTTTTTAGGACACTGGTTTAAATATTAGGTCATTATAGGCCTATGTATTGTAAGTACACACATGCACAAGATCTCAATCTCATATAAAAAATAAAAATAAAATAAAAAGTGTGCACACACACATAGTCTATATTATTGTAAAGTGCTGCAGGCTCATAGTCTTTTCTTGTAATCTGATTTCAAGTCAGACAAAACCTACCAACACAATAGCGTGCACCTCAAATCAAACCACTCTCAAAAAAAGTTCACAGGGTCAAAGCTGCAATCCCATCTTGTTGCACAACTCCTGTTTGCGGGTTCAAGTCTCATACCGGCAGGGATTGTAGGTGGGGGGAGTGAATGTACAGTGCTCTCTTCCACCTTCAATACCACGACTGAGGTGCCCTTGAGCAAGGCACCGAACCCCCAACTGCTCCCCGGGCGCTGCAGCAAAAAAATGGCTGCCCACTGCTCCGGGTGTGTGTTCACGGTGTGTGTCTGTTCACTGCTGTGTGTGTGTGTGCACTTTGGATGGGATAAATGCAGAGCACTAATTCCGAGTATGGGTCACCATACTTGGCCACATGTCAGTTCACTTTTTTATTTTTATTTACAGTATCTCACAAAGTAGGCTGAATCATCTCTTTGTATAATGGGTTATCAGACGTTGCAAACTACTATATCAGTATTAGGAAATTATGAATCACGTACGAGACGTGCAATAAGATAGAAGACCATTGCAGGTCTTGGTAGCCCATCCACAGTAATGATATATTGTATATCTATTGTATTTTTATATTGATACATTTTCAAGTAATGTTTTCTTATTTTTCAAGTTGTTTCAGACACACAGAAGAGTCTTGACTAAAACAAAGCTTTTGAACATTTCCATCGTTATTGCACAATAAGTTAAGTTAAGAATTAAAAAAGATTAGAATAAGAATCTATCAAATCAGACAAGGCCAGCTGCTGGCAAATAACATAATAATTCTCACACTGTTGTTGCAACACATATTTATTATTTTTAATGCGTTCATTTATACCTTTCACTTCACTGGGTTTATTTTTTTTATTATTTATAACGGTTCAGATAGTTTTCTAGGATTGTCAAATGTCTGTAACTCAAGACTCGCACTGTACTTTGCTTCGTAAGCGTGCTCACGTGTTACAGCAGCCAGCAGGAAACACGTCACAGGGAAACACTTCGCTTCCGAGAGCGAGGTCAAGATGGCGCGCTGCAGCAGGTGAAGGGGACTCAGCGGCAGCCGGTCGTTCGCTTGAAGAATATGTACAAAACACCATGTAGTAGACTGACGGGAGTCTGGAAATGCCTTCCGCGCGATGGTATTAATAACTATATTATGCTAATGAAGCGTATGTGAGCTTTCGCTCTTTCTGGGGTGGCATTTTAAGAGAATGCTAGCCGGTTAGCCTAGCCACTGAAGCGCTACTGCAGCAGTATGACCTTACAATATCAACACAGTTTACGTGACATGAACCTATTTTTCAAAGTGGTCCCAGTAACTACGTGCACTGACATAGATATACAAGTATTTTTCTGCTGTGTTCTGCATATTTTGCTTGCGGCAAATCATCATTTGACTTGCTTTGCTCATTATTTGAAATATATAAAAGCTTTGTGCGTGTGTGTGTGTGTGTGATAATTGAACAACTGCTGTATTGTCTCCTCATGAGTGTTGCATGTGTAATTTGACATGATGCCATGTGTTGTTTGGCATGACGTCACTGGGAGGTTGTCAAATCTCAAAGTAAATTGAGTTGATTTGACATGTATTTGATACATATAAAGCATATCCTATGCAACTGATAATTTGAATAGGAACGTTTCACGTTTTATAAAATTAAATAGTCTGACTCCATATTTTTCTCATATTAAAAATCACTTCAAAAGGTATTGTTATACACGGTTGTAAAGGCAAAAAGTCAATTAAAGCTTACAACATTGTGAGCAGGCATGATATTTTTTGCATGAAGTGGCAACACATCTTTATTGTGTATTTTATATATTGTGTTTTTAATGTTATTGTATTATTTTATTTTTTTTAAATTATGCCGTTTTACTTTTGAATTAATATTTCTCATTGTTTTTTTTGCTGTTGTCATGTTCTTGGATGTGGCATTGACTTAAACAATTATCAAGTATTGTCTTCTCTTGTTGAAGGTTTGCTTGGTGTCAGTGTGCAGCAGAAGCTCATTGCAAACGCATCTAGGAGTCACATGAGCGTCAGGAGTCTGATTAAACTCTGCAGGAAAAATCAAGCAGAATGGATCACGTTCCAGCATCTCTGCTTCCTGAAGAGACAGGTATAGGCTAGGGTTGTGACGGTGAGGAAATTTTCCCAGCGGTTAATCGACGTGTGACAACACTGGTAATACCGGTATCACCGTGGGGGCGGGGCGTTCCCTCTTTTCCTTGCTATAGCTTGTAAAAGCGGCGTGCGCATTTTACTTTCACTTTGAAATAGCGGCAATTCGGTGTAAAGCAATTGTTCGTTTTTAGTTCGTTTGAATTTTCCCTCTTTTCCTCGCTTTCCTTCGCTTTTAAATAGCTTAAAAGAGCTGTGCGCAATTTACTTTTACTTTTGAATTAGCGGCAGTAAGGCGTCAATTGCTTGAAGGCAACAACAAAATACAACGTCAAACTCACTTTAGCCTATATATAATCCATAGAACTTTTATTAACAAAACAAATACAAATACACCATGCTATAGGGCAGGCTATGCCTAATATAAAATAACAAATAACTTAAAGTTTAAATAGGTAGCCTATACAAAACTGGAAATAAGTAAATGTATAATATATAACCAAATAAATAAGAAACATAGAAAGTTTATTAGCAAAACGAATAAGAAAGCTTGGAGGCACGGCATACACCTTGATGTCAAATAAAATAAATAAATGACACAAAGTTTATAAAGTAAAATTCAGCAAACAATGTGGAACCAATTAAATAAGAAACGGCAAGCCTAGTATAGGCTGTGAAGTGCTGCCTTTATGGATGCATAAACAGTAATACATTGACCAAGGCAATTCAGCTCTAAAATGATCTGTTTATAGACATTATTGATATCTGTAATTATTATCTAGGCTTTTTTGATCCAACTCTCTTCAAATATTTTTGCAGGAGGAAGCGTTTTAACCATATTTCTTCCATCTTTCCACAGTATGTGAAGAGCAGCAGCAGTCTCTGCCAGAGAGCGAGAGCCAAGCAGGAGCCTGTTGCCTCTGTGCTGGATGATCGAGATGATTCGGTGGTCAGTCAGGGTACTAAAAAGATTTTTATTTCTATAAAATATCAAAACGACGGTGGGGATTGGTGACGCGGTGGGCAAGTGACGTAACCGGTGTTGCGGCTTAACACCGGTATCACCGTCAACACTGTCTATCGCAGCAAGCCTATGGCTTACCCTCCTTGTGAAGGATTTACCAGGGATTTACGCACGGCTCTCCAAAATTAAATTAACAGGTATGATATGTTTTATGTATTTTGTATGAATGAAAGTCATATTGCAATATAAGATACTGTTAGTTGAACATGAACTTGTAGTTACTTATGCAGTAATCAAAGCTAAACTGCTGATCATGAAGCTCATGGAAAGTTAAATGTGATACTTAATCTAAAAAAGCACTGTCTTGTCTAGTGATTGATTATTAAGTTTAATTGCTTTATTATGGTTAATCATGTAATCAGTTTAAAAAATAGTCTTAGCCCATTAAGTACTTTGGCAGTTTTCATCCTTTTAAATTTTCTTTAGCTTTTTCTGAAAGGATAATATTTTATGTGGTGAGCATTCCACTTACATGTCCTGCATAATTAACTTGCATAATATGCTGGAAGTTAGATTTCTGACAAATTCTAGAGATATGATAGCATGACAATTTATCAATGTCTAATAGCCTAATGAGAACACTCTTGAATACCAGACACTCTTCTTTTGTTGTTGTTGTTGTTGAATTGATGCATTTTTTTTTTACAAGATGTTAAAACTCCATTGTATTTAATATGAAATGCTGCCAAAAGTTTTTTTGTGTAATTTATGATCAGTTATTTTATAATTTGTAGTTATTTGTTCATTATTTTTTATTTACTTTTGTCATTACATTTTTCTAAAAACTGAAGTTGCCTTTTGAACTAAATCAATAAGCTACTTTGTAACCTCACTCTTTCTTTCTCTCCGTAGCTCTTGTGGTTACTACAGCAGCTGCTGGCTATGCCATGGCTCCAGTGCCCTTTGACCCTGTCACTTTTTTGATGGCTTCGTTCGGAACGTTTCTCTCCTCCTGTACAGCCAATTCCATCAATCAGGTCAGCCACCCCATGCACATTCATAAAATAACTTCACACTCAGCAGAACATGACTGGACCAAACACATCATGAAGCCGAGTGATCTGACATTCAGCTGGAGCAAGCTAGCAAGTGTTAGACCACTTCATCGTGTGTGTGTGTGTGTGTGTGTATTAAAAGCTGTGCATGTCTGATGTTGTGTACTTTTAGATCTGAAATTCATTGTATATTTGGATACTGTGACTAAATAATCAAAGCAGACTGATTAACTACCATGAACTTGGAAATTTTGAGATTACTGGCATCTGCTATGACACATTAACATAAATATTTCTATATTTATAATATAATACTTAATATACAGTGGTGTGAAAAAGTGTTGGCCCCCTTCCTGATTTCTTATTTTTTTCGTATTAGCGGCTATTCGGCATCAATTGCTTGAATGCAACAACAAAATACAACGTTAAACTCAATTTAGCCTATATGTAAAGCATAGAACATTTATTAACAAAACGAATAAAAAGACACCATGCTATATGGCAGGCTATGCCTAATATAAAATAACAAATAACTTACATAAAGTTTAAATCAGCTCGACTCACTCTCCTCACTGGATAAATTAAATCTGATCTGTGATGTGACTGTCGTTCGGCACGCTGCATTTAGCGGCCGTGTTCAGTTTTTAATTGTAGTGTTTTATTACTATAAAAAAAATCAAAACGACGGTTTGGGTCGGTGCCGTGGTGGGCAAGTGACGTAACCGGTGTTGCGGCTTAACAACGGTATCACCGTCAGCACCGTCTATCGCGGCAAGACTATTGTGCACCAAACACTAGGTATACAGTTATGGCCAACAGTTTTGGCAGTGACATAAATTTTGTGTTTTGCAAAGTTTGCTGCTACAGTATTTGTAGATTATTTTTCCACATGTTTCTATGGTATACTGAAAAACAATGATAAGCATATCATTAGTTTTAAAGGCTTTTATTGGCAAAAAAAATATAACGAGTCAATATTTACAGTGTTGACCCTTGTTCTTCATAACCTCTGCAATTCGCTCTGGCATGCTGGTTATTAACTTCTGGGCCAAATCCTGACTGATGGCGATCCGTTCTTGCCTTATTAGTTCTCGGAGTTGATCACAATTTGTGGGCTTCTGCTTGTTTTTCTGTTTTAATAGTTTATAGTTATATCGTAACAAAAATCAGAAATCTCACACTCTTTACCTTCTGCATGGGCAGAACTGGTACTCTATGCATGTGTACTCTTTGAGATTGTTTTCATGAGATTAACCCAGTTGCAAGCCTAATGTGTATGGATCAGTAATTTCTGAAATCAACCTAATGAATTTTATGTAACTGGACTGAGTACTGTGCAGAATTGTTTTTCTGTACTCTAGATATTTCACTTGCTTTCACACTAACTGGACTTACATTATAGCTTTTACCATGGTTTATTATCCATGATTGCAAAAGTAGGCATCTGACATCTAAAAAAATGTGATGACCAGAGTTTGGCTAGATGTGTTGATGCAGGCCCACGGCAGACCACACAAATCCAGTTGTACAGTAGATGGTTAGAAATGTATTACCCGCTAGTTTTAGTACTTAACCTCAACTCTGCACAAGCATTCCAGCCAGAGTAATTGCCTACTTGGCGGTCTGTTGATTTTTCTATTGTTTTGCTTGTGTACAGCTAGATGGATGAAGTCTCATTGCAGCATTGGCTTGACTTCAGTGAGTCCTGCAATGCCCAGCAGAGTTTAATTGTGTTACACAAACGGGACACAAGCACTCGAAATGGGATCTCACAGTGCACTTTGTCATTAGTTTAGAGAGAAATAAATAAATCAGAGCTTAAGAGAGCCAATTGTAGAGTCTTTTGCATTCCACTCCTGCTGTGTATCTAAAAAAAATACATTAGGCCAGCCTAGCTGTGCTGAGCTTGAATGAGAAGAAACAGAGAGCGAGAAGCGCGCATATACTCTGATTTGCTCCATCCCTAATCAGCTTTCTGCTCCAAGCGAAGCACATTCTGTGCAGTAAGGCTCTTCGTGACTCAAGAGTATTAGCCAAATTGAAGGCTAATATTACAATTTAAAATAACTATTTTCTGTTATAATGTGTGTTAAAATGTAATTTATACCTGTGATGGAAAAACCAGAAATCATTTTCATATACTGATTTGGTGCTCAAGAAACAATCAATGTTGAAATTATTTGTGCTGCTTAATATTTTTGTGGAAACATGTTTTTTTTTGTTTTTTTAGGATCCTTTGTTGAATAAAAAGTTCAAATGAGTAGCTTTTTTTTTTTTTTTTTGTGTGTAACAGTAAAGTCAGTCTTTAAAGGCACAATATGTAAGATTTTTTTATTAAAATATCCAAAAACCACTAGAACAGCATTATATATTTTGCTGACTTGTGTACTTACATTATCCCAAATGTTTCGAAGAATGTTTAAATCCAGAGAAATAAGCAATTTTAACTAGTGACACAGACCATGTCTATAGTGTCATTCTGTCACCTTCCAATGACGTCATAACCCCTCGATTTCCGGTTTTGTAGAAAACATGGAAACACCAAAGACACTTTAATATGTTGTGCGTTTTAATAGACCGGTGACGACCGCACAGAGTAGCATAATAACAGAACTTTCAAATGTATGTAGAATGATAGACACATAATAATAGGTCCGCTGCTTTCGAGCCGTGTGTTGCGCTCATTTAGCGGCCTCGTTTCGCTTCGACGGCTTTCAGCCTCACCCTGCTTCATTCCACTACGTTAATAAATCATTAGCTCATCCATGAACATGATTTCTGCCTGAGTCCCGTCGGATTGCATCGGCTGTGGGAATGAAGATGACTCCCATGATTCCACACTCAGTCACGGCGTCATCAAACTACGCCTTTATGTCTATTTGTTTATTTTGAATACGCGCCCTCTAGCGGCGAAAATTACATATTGTGCCTTTAAGTGAAGACTTTACTGTCACTTTTGACCAATTTAATGCATCTTTATTGAATAAAAGTATTAATTTATTTTAGGAAAGTCCTCATCTAGTAATCATGAATTTTTATGTTTTGATAATTTAGTGCTTAAAAGGTGTCAGAACGCTTTTGATTAGCATGCTGAATAACAGACTGCAAATTTGAATTGATACTAAATGAGTAATTCATAGATGAGTTAAACATGGGGGAAAAACTTGGATAGACATGAAAGGTTTAAAGAAATCTTATAGCCAAAAAAAGCCAACTCATTCGCCAAGTCATTTTTGAAGTTCTTGAGATGGAGAAAAGGTTGATTAGCTATAATTTAAATCTTTGCACAATTTAAAATCAAGGCTCACCTGGTTTTTAAGTAGGGATGCACCGATACCACTTTTTCCAGTACTCGCCCGATACCGATACTTTTATTTTTGGTACTTGCCG